GGAGTGAAACCCTGGTCGTACGTGGCGATCGACAACATGGGACCGTTCCCACCTGCACCACGGCACAAGAGGAACTGTTTTGTGCCCTCTGCTTTTGCAGAAAATGGCCTGAAATTCACCTCCATGGTGATGTGAACACTTCATGAGTCATGCGGCAGCTGAAGCACCAGTTTGCTAGATGTGCACTTCCAAAAGAAATTGTGGCAGATAACGGACCACCGTTTACAAACTACGGGTTCTGTCGGTACGACTCCTCGATGTGAAACAGGTACGAACGATTCCGTACATACCAGCGGCCAACGGCATGATTGAGCGCACAAATCGCCCGCTAAAGGAATGCGTACAGGCGGCACATTCGTCTGGCATGCAAGGAGAAGATGTATTAATTCAGGAGCTTTTTACACCCAGAACGGCAAAACACAGGGCGCCCGACAGCACACCGGCTGAGCTAATTCTTGGCAGAAGGTTGCGAACGAACCTCAACGCAAGTACATCCATCCCATAATACAATGATTCCTATCAGCTTGAGAGTCGCCGACGTTATCAGTTCACGTACGTTTCTGCTAAGAGCAATGAGGACACCCAAAGAGCAGCCAACACTATAGCATCCCGTCAGTTCGCAAACCTCTGCAAAGAAAACGCGGGTTATTTTACGCGGCTCTACAACCGACCCCGCTACCAGTGTCCAAAACTGCGGACGCAGGTGAGGTGACCGGTCCCTCCACTCACAGTAAGTTGTTTGTATGTTGGTTGATTAATTGCTAACACTAGCTTTTCAGAACAGGCGAGTCATCCGACAAAATAGATCTTCCCAGGTTCATCGTGCGTTTGCTCTGAGTACAGTTTGTGCTGGTACGGGGAACTGCTGCAGAGGCTGGTTAGTAGCTAGTCCCGAGGTGCTTGTTGGGATACAACAGCAATGAGCGCGTTTGCCGCCCTGTTTTTATGCAGAAAAAGCGAGTGGACCATGCAGTACCCTTATTACACGCTCCGATAATTCGCCCTGTAGGATGAAAGCTCTCTCTTCCAAGCTGCTCATGATTTGGGCCTCCCGGATTCTTTGCTGTTTTCCCGAGGATGATAAACACACCTGGTTGAATAAATTTGATGATACAACGAAAGACAAACATTATTGCCTTCTATGTTGTGTGTTTCTTCATCCGGTTCCGTTCCGCTAAGTATCCATCAAAACACAATCATTCTTAAGTGCAGGAGACATAACAAAGCATGTTAATGATTTTCTGTTTGTTTTACTATTGCTGCTTTTCTCTATCTTGCTTTGTTTTCCTACCAGCTAGTCAAATTGTATTGCAGCACACTACCTAATGTGCTTACTACCATTAGCTAACGTACATAATGATTACGATGATGCACACCTACTTGGCCAGCATGTTTACATATGGTGAGTTGAATGATTTGAGATCAAAGGTTACTGATGAAAGATTTCTCACTGCGAAAATCGGGCGATTGTGCCATGCAAAGCGAAAGGCATAGGAACAGAAAAGTCTTCCTTTCGAACATGCTGAATCTTTAGAGTCCAGATGGAATGCTCAATTGTGTTTCAGTTTGATGGAGGTTTGCATTTAACCTTCAGGGCACGCAGTTCGCATACACTGTCGTGCTGGTTGATACTGTATTCCCTTAGACTACGAAACAGTGGAGATCAAATTTCCTAGTATTAGACTGATGTATAACATTAATGATAACAAAAACGCAAATACGACTCATCTATCGCACTCTGATTGTTTGCTTTTATTCAGAGGTTTTTTTTACTGAAATGGCCAATATCACTTCGTAATGCTACCACTGTCTACAAGTCAAAACCGGTACGTATAATGGTTGAGTTTATCGCCATTATTAGTTAGGAAATTCAAAGTATGCAGATATCTCCATGGGTATGGAATTTCGACTCTCTCTTTATACAGTGTTTATTGTAGTAATTTCAAGTATAATAGCGCATCACGCATTTGAAAAAGGATTGGAGTCTTAAGCCGCGGTGACTCAGAAGAAATGGGTTCGGTTTCCGATGCAAAGGAGGGGTTCACACTACTTCGCTAGACAGCCATCTGCTGCTCTTTAAGATGCGTGTTAAGACAACTGAATTAATATATCTAAGATCAAGCATTCCATAAAAATTAGTGGAAGCGCGCGCGTTACAGCTTTTTCCAAGCTTTGTAGTGAATATTCCTACAGACAAAAACTATAGGAAGCTGAAACCAATTAATTCGGTCAATTTTAGCTTATGGACTAGCCAAGAAAAAGCTGTGGGCTGACGATACAGAATTCGATGACACTACCCAACCAGTTTGTCAGCTTTTAGAAGAGGCGCCTAAGAAATTTCAAACTAAGGAGAGTTCTGCTGCACTTATTTGGTAAAACGTCTATCATATGGACCCTCAGAACATACTCTGAGTAAAACCGGAAAATGGGATGACACACCGAACTAACATGTCTATCATCTAGTGTCATTGTCACTACTCCTTTAAATTTTGCTCCAGATAAACATGCTCGTAGATTAATTATCAGAAACATTCTTCCCTATTAGACTGATCAGCTAAGTTGCTCAAATACAGCAAAGTTTCGGGGTCTGTTCCGTCATTTAGGACACTGCGTACAGTTACCACCAGCTCGTGAATTGCCGGAGTACACGCGGTATATTCGACCTAATGTTTTGATGGAGACTAGAGAAATAAAGAGTAGCAACATTGCGAAGAGGTAAAACTGCCGTACTATTGTTTTTCGAGAGTGTGCTGGCTGTCTGATTGAGTCTAGATGCTATGAACTTTTCAATAAACCATTTAATTCAACTTAATATTCCCTAACAATAAGTACGCAGACCATACTGTTTATACTACCGCATTACTTGGTGGTTTAAGCCCTCTTCTCTCTGAGTGTGCCTCCCTGTCCTCTGAAAGGCAGTAAGTTGCAAATCGATGTATAGTGAGCAATGCAATATCACATCTAGTAACTTAGTCAATTAGGTCGTTATCGTCTGCCTTAGCTCAGTGGGCTTAACAACAGATGGGATGCGCACTACTGAGGTTTCCCGAAAGTAAAATCTGATGTGACTGGTGGTATGACATCACCATTTCAATCACAAAAATGCAACATTGATAGATGGACCAGAAGCTGTCTGTAATAGCTTTGTAAACTTCTGGTCGCGTTAGCGTAACCACGGGGTTGCACGTGACCCTAAATCAGGTTCCTTTTCACACACGTACTCAGCCGACGGCGGTGTCCTGGTCACCAAACAAACGACGCGCACTCGGCCTAGAAACTAGGCGCGCGCTCACGTGACCAGGTGTGTCCTAAGCAGCTTACAGAGAAAAGACAGAAGACAGGGCAAACGTTTGAGAGCTCCTGCAAGACCCACAAAGGCCAAACACAGTTGGTACAGCGGTTCATTTTGTGAGAGATATGAATCGCCTTATCGGATAGCTGGTTTACAAAACACTATTGTTCACTTTGGCACGGTTGTGGATTGGCTTGGCCTCGCTAGAAGCTGCTTCGTTGTGGGTAACCAAATGGACCTAGGGGCGGCGCAGTCCACGTATTGTGGTTCCCAGCGCAGTTGCATAACTGCGGGATCACTTGACGTACCTTCAACAGTATCAAAAGAGGGATTATATGACCAAGGATGAAACAGTAGTACGATATTTTGCGGAGGTGTAATAACTGGCTGGTTGTCAGGTGCCATAGAGTTGTACTGATATCGAATGTATCACAATCGAGCGGAGTACAGTTGTATCAACACGTGACGGCTACAAACACATGTCGAGTACGGTGGACTGCTATATCTATAAAGCAAGTTCACCGAAAGCTACTACTTTGTATGCATATCATTTTCAATGTTCCAATGAGATACAGTCGTAAATTAATTAGGATCGCGTTACTCGTTGCTCCAAATGGATGTCAGTCGGAAGACAGTTGTAATGATATCTATGATCCGCTCTTAAGAACGAAACCTGCGTTCAATCCATACATATCACTGCACTCATTAAAGAAATCATTCGAACTGTTCCCGTTACTTGTTAGTTAGGAAAAGTTGAGACTGCTCGAATGTGATATGGGTAAGAAGAAGTTAAGGAGCGCGATTCACGGTTCCGCTCATGTAGTCATATCTTCTGTACTTTCTGTAAGCATCATTGTGGAGCTCTCGGTAAGTCGCCAGTTATCAGGATCGTTTACATATAAGCTTTGCGTTCCACCAGATTCTACTTGGTGCCTGCACTCATTATCGGCAGCCCTAAATTAGGGCTTTCAAAGACATCTGGTAAACTGTGGTAGGTCGTTGAATTGCTGAGACGAAGTAAGTTCATTGTGGAACATCCGTCATAGAAGACACACATTCGAAGTCTCTCACTTTTGACCCTGACTAGACAGTGATTTGGACTAAGGTTGGGCTCATACTTTCGTCTACAGCGAGAACGGTGTATTCCTTTTCTTTTTGCGGATGAACTGTCCGACCGGTTTGTTTCTTCTCATTTTTGGAGTAATAATTTAAATATTTAGACAAAATCAATGAAGAGTTAAGTCAACCGTACTCAGCATTGACATTCTACTGAGATTGGCAGGTGATCTGGTAGGGTCTTGAAATTGGAAGGCGAATAAAAGTATAAATAGATGTTTAATTTTATGTTCCGCCCAGTACTGCACCTAGTAAAATAGAGTAATAATCACAAAGTATCTCTGCGCCACCTTGGCTATGAATATCCTACGTAGATAACGGAAGCTTGTAAAACACCGTGTTGACAGGACGAGCCTGATAGTACCCCATAAGAGAACGATTTCTGGTAAGCAGTTAGGACTTACGAACGAAGGAGGGGCAACACCGATCTCCCAACAGTGTACAAGCAAACTGAAGCGACCGGCAGCGTGCCTCGGTGAATGCCTGAGCATGCTGTCAGACAGTTTGATTTATCACCGATTTCCTTGGTGCTCGATGTGGGACCAGTATGAGGCAGTATAGAATCGACTGACCATTTCAGCGTGATCATTCCTTAGCTGCAGTGTGGAAATATAAACCAACAAACAAAAGTAGAATACACGTTGAAATAAAGTAGAAGATGGATTATGATAACAATGCAACAAGCAAGACTGACGACACACCTAGTCGATCAGGAGTCGAGGATGTGAGAGCCGACGTACAGGAATAACCCCAAATTCCCAGCAAAGGAAGAATTTTCAGATGTACAACAATTCGTGTAACTGGATGTAGAAAACGAAGTGATGCGCATATCCACTTTTGGTGAGTCACTGTTTAAGTAGAACCATCTGATCTAGTAGGAGCTTGAACGGTGGATTGAACATATGAGGAAAACAGTTCGGGCCGTAGTCTAAGAGGTCACAATGATGTACCAATCTACAGTGCTGTTAAAGGCAAGAGAAGTACATAGTACATTGCCAATTGATACCGCATATTTGTCAATGGAACCTACGTGCGTCCTCACGTCGAATATGCAATCCAGGCCTGGCAACCCTGGCTAAAACGTGACCTTGCAGCGCTTGAGACCCCACGGCGTCGAGCAACGAAAATCGTCAAGGGCTTGCGCCACACTCCTTACCAGGAACGACTGGAGATACTCGGAGTGTTCAGCGGACGGTACCGGCGACTTCGTGGAGACCTCATACAAGTGTACCAGATATTGAGCGATCCCAGTCACGTATGCCGCCACCTCTTGAAGCTCAACCGGAACACTAACCTTCGCGGTAACAGTTTAAAGCTGAGCCAACAGTACAGTCGTCTAGACTGTCGAAGAACCTATTTCTCCCTCCGGGTCTGCGGGCCCTGGAACGCTCTTCCAAACTCAGTTGTTTGTGCCCCCACATTAGATACGTTTAGAAAACGATTGGACGTCGCACTGAGCCCCCTGCGCTTTGTTTTATGAACGAAAACGCTTGTATATATTTAGGCTGACCAGCCTCTTTGGATTTATACCCCAAATTCACGGTCGTAACTCTGTGCGAACCGGTGAGTACTCCATTTTTATTTGCTACCATCACCAACGATAACAATTTCTTAGCCAGTTTTGCGTCGTACCACTTTATCCCCCTAAAACTGTTATACTTCTACCTTTTATCTCACTGACGCTCCTTACTTCAACCACTTATGCGGTTTGCCACATTGTTAGTATTTCTATTGCCGACCTGCGGGACTCGTTAAGTGTATGCTTTTTTACCCGTCATATACCATTGTTCCATTGTTACCATTATTAGGCCGGCTGGGTATTCATACCCTCGACTCGCACGAATAAATTTCGCTGAACATTTGGTATCATCCATGACGGTAGATGACACCGCCAACAAGCTTGCTGGCTTTGGTACTAAGAAAAAGGACTGGCCAAATAAAAGTACGGGTTGCTGCCTGAAACACATTAAAATTGACATCAATAGACCATCCAGAATTATGTGTTCTCTGTAGATGTTTTCTTGCATGAGAAAATTAATAACATCTTGTTGGACTGGGGTCCGAATATTGTCCCACTGTTTTCGCATGTTTAGCTCAACCGGCGGCATATACTGAGGTGAATAAATAAACGGATTGCACTAAGCAGAGTAATATTGCTACTGAGTAGCGTAAGTTAGCTTTTTATATAATGTGAGTTCAACTTGAAGATGATGGTATTTCTTTTACTGTAGAAGCGGCAAGTTTTTCGTCGCGTACTAGCAGTGTTCAAAAAGAAAATGCACGTTGAAATAGCGCGGCAACCGGATGAGGGAGCGCGCTGCGGCTACTGAGCGCAAGCGGAGGCTTGCTTTGACAATAAATTGTCATTTACCTCATTTCGCTCTGACTGTTGGTTGGGGAGCTGCAGCCGTTGAAATGAGCACGTGCACAAGCTGTTCGTCGGATTAGTGCAAAATCAGCAATGAAAAAGCTGGGAGAACAAAGCGTGTGTGTGAAATGTCGCTACAACGTTGGCAAAACTTTTGCAGCGACATTTCACTTGCTTAGCCAAGCATACGGGATGGAGTTTATGAGTTGCACGCAGTGCCGCAACTGGTTGAACTGATTTTAACACGGCTACTTGTCGGTCTGTGTAGATTCCAAGCCTGGACGAGCTTCCACATCAACAGACGATGACCATGTCGACAGAGTTTGTGCTGTGCTCCGTGGAAATCGTCCGTTAAGTCTTCGTGAAGTTGCTGACGAAGTGGACATCGGCGCGAGACCACGCCACTAAATTCTTGCGCGTTTGAGGGATGCTATGCACAGGAAGTGGTCCGAACCTTTGGAAAAACAAGACTTGGATGTTAAATCATGACAGTGTGCCGGCTCAAGCATCGCTCCTTGTGCACAACTAGCTAGCAAAGCATCATATTCCCGTGGTGCCCCATAATAAATGAAGCTTATTAAACCATTAAGTGCCCTGCGAAAATTCTACTTTTCCGGAAACCAAGCTAATATGCGGTTCAGGTTGCTGCATATTACTTCATGATACACAGCCAAGGAATATTGTTTCTTCCAAAGATTTCATTGTCCGTTTGCATTGCAAAGTATCAATTTGCACATAGTTTGAAAACAGAAGCAAATATGCATCATTCCGGAACAAATGGTTTTTTATTACCTTCTTACAATGTGATGATTTCAAGACCACCTACACATGCTATTCGTTTCATCGGAAAGCGAATCTCCGGTTGGTAGCTGCGCAAACTCTATTCCCCACTTTTCCCACAGGTTCATTGCAGTTTGGCCGAAGTTATTTGTCGGCTGCCGCACATCGGTTACGGATGGGAACTAATGACATCCTGCATTTGTCATGAAACGTGGACAGAAGTTCAGCAACCCAACAATTGGGTTATGCGTTGGTGTGTAGTGTAAACGATCGGACCACTTTGGTTGTTATTGTTCCCACTTCGGACACCAAAGAACAACAACAGGGTGTAAATGTGAGGTAATAAAACTGGTCAGCAGCTTTTGTGCACATTGGTAGGAGAGATAGTAGCGTGTTCACATGCTTCTTCCGATTCAGCGCGTTTTTACCGAGGGAAGAAAGAGGGACTCTGCGTCAAGTGGAACCGCCGTGACAAATGGTTTCCGTGGCCCTCGATATATTTGATGAAGCATTCCGGAAATTGTTTTCAATGCGAAACGGCATACAATTGAAACGAGAAGAGCAATAATTCGTAGTGGATCGCTGAAGGCTGTCTGTGAGTATTCAGCAGGGGACACCGAAGCCTTTCGACTCTGGCCCACCGGTCGTAAAATCAAATGAATGAAAACCAGAGCCAAAGTAGAATTGGTTGCAAATTCGGAATGGGTAGTAATATGGAGACTATGAGTGCTTATTTTCTTATGCGAGAGAATGAAACCCTACACATCGACAGAAAACTTGACAGTGCGAGATTTCAAATGCTCACACACAATGAATGATTGTTTAGTTGAGCCATGGATATTCAAGCACCAAAATACACCGCACTGCAGAGAATAAAGCTTTATTTATTTATCTATTTACTTTGCATCATATTAGTCGAAATTTTCATCTCCAGCATTAAGCTGTCGAACAAGCAGTTAGGGTAAGTCCTTGTTAAACGGACCACGCAAGTGGCTGGACCAAAGCAGTCAACATAGAGAGGTGGTCGACATACATTTGTCTAGCGCCATACGATTTACACGCTAAATGTTTAAGCGATGCCAAATTTAATCAGCATATTGAGACGGTTAGGATTTTGTGTGGTCATCTTTTGAGGTTGTACTCTAGGCTAAAACTTATCACCCCTTATATATGTGCAGTGTCCACGCATTTCCATCGCCTGTTTCCAGCATTTTGATCCACTGGGGCCCATTCTAAAAATACCCATTCGCGGCAGACGGCACAAGCTAGTAAGTTGATGAGATGAATGGGGTCAGTGGCCAAATGCGGCATCAGTTTCGTGCGACAAGTGTGCAGGAGTAATATGAATCAATAGATAAATGTGTGTTCTGAAACCCACTTGCCATTCAGAATTGTCGGATATTGTGTAACCTACTTGAGAAGATTTTTAAACAGGAGACTGTAAAATTTCATTATTATCTAGTTACATCATTTGAATACACGTGGATCGCTTCTGTTAGAGACGGTATTCGGACCACAAAACGCAAACATTTGCGACGCGGATAACAAACACCCTTGGTAGCTTAAATGACTGTGGTCAACTTACCCGTAAGCCGTGGTATCAGGCAACACTGTTTGTCATGTTCCTAAATGCACTGGAATCTCTAGACCTGAATTCAACCTACACCAAGAGAGATGGAACAGGATTTCACCATCTTCGAATGAATAAAAATTATGCGGCCTCTCCCCACCTTTACACCTGGTGGTTAAACATAAATATTAACGAGACCATCACCATGCAGTGGCACAAGGAAGGCCCCCGTGTACGATTTTAGTGGTAAGTACTGCCTTTTATTTAGATCTATTGCGGTGCGCACACAGCAGGAAAAAGGCGCGGTTCAGTATGTACTTGCTGTGTTTTAATACCCGATAATGTTCTAGCTATCAAGACCACTCCATATTGGCTTCACTCTACGGTGTGCCGTAATATTATTCTTCCGTGTATGTCGATGTGCTTGTTGGGGATGTGCAAGCATTCATAATAGGAAAATACAGATGTCTGCCCACACGCTAGAGTGATCATATACTCCAATTACCTTGTAAAACCACATTCTACTCGCGTCTATGAAGGTGTTGGAGTGAAAGGTGTGTAGCCCGTTGTACAAAGGTATTCACTGATGCTGGCAAAACATGCAGAAACAATTCGGCAGTAGGTGAAAGCATTAGGTTTTTTGTCGCTTGCTGAACAATGACCAACTCGTGTTCGTGGGTACGTCGTGATCTTGCCCCACTTCAATAATTTGGATGTCACAGTCACTGTCAAGACAAGTCGCAGTCGAAACATTTCCATCTTTCTGATTTTTAACATGAAAGGCACTAAAACCATCAAAAGCATTGTCGTTTCCTTTAGCTTTAGAACAGTGCCATCGCATTACAACCGATTTTTCAAGAAAATATGCTGTTCATTAT